TGCCCCTTGGCAGAAATAAGCTGGCGGAAAGAGCGACAGCAAGCCCAAGGTTGCCTGTGCTCTGTGCCACAAAGTGATTGATACCAAGGTCCCCCTGTTTACTGCGAATCACATAGTTCATTCCCCCACGAATGGTGTAGCTTCCCGTACGCTGCAGATTCTCGCATTTTAACACAACCTCCTCGTGTCCTGAACTTTGGCGCATTGAATTGCTCAAGAGGATGGGTGTCTCACGGACGTAGGGCCGTGTTGCCTTGTATGCCATCATAACAGTATTAAATGTAGACATATTTATAATATGTTTTGCTATAAAGACACGTCCAAAGATGTACAAATACAAATATGTATGTATTATTTTCTCCTAGTGGGGTGATGCTGTCCTTCTTGGGCTTGTTCGAATAAACTTGATTTGTTGTTGTTTTTTTCCAATCCTCAACCTTTTCAACAATGCTGTTATTTTTCCTTTCTTCCAGCCGTCTTGTCGTTGTTCTTGCACGCGCTGTTCGTTTCTTGACACTTTTAACGATGTTTTTCCCCTATTTGATCCTCCCTTCTCATGAAACCCAAACAAATAGAAATGACGATATTCTGAGAGGAATAAAAATGCTAAAGATAAAAGTGGTGCAAAATACATATATTCATTTATTTATTTTATTTATACTTTTCTTTATTGCCCCCAACATGTGGTGTCAAAGAGGCACATACAGAGAGTAAGAGGCCTCACAAGGTCCACCACCTCAACGACACACAGTACTCGTACTCCCTGTTTCGGCATGTCCTTGACACACGAGATGCGAGACCAAACAGGTGGGTCAATGGGTGGGCGTCGTTTGACGGCTGCCGGGACCCATCACATGTAGTGCTGGTACGTCTGCGCCGCCTGCCGCAGCACCAACTCACGCCGCATCTTCTCAATGGCCTCCACAAGGCCTTTCTTTACTGTCCGGAGTGCTGCCAGGTCGATTTCCGCGCCCGTGAGTTTCCTTCGCCCACGAGGCAGCTTTACAACAATGGGAGCATCGACTCCGTGGAGAGCCTGTTGCTTCAACTGCTGCTGCTCTTGTTGCTGAGAAGCCGTGTAGGACGCCGAAGAGAACACATCCGCACCATGCTGTTGTGCGCCGACCAAGGACGACAGGGCCTTCTCGAGACTCTCAAGATACGACTCCGCCAAAACAGCGTCATCGGGTTCCTCCTGCATAATGTACTCCCAGCAAGACACACCGCCCTCGTTAAACGCCGCGGCGACGCCTAACGGGGCGCCACTGCCAAAGAGAGGTCCCTGCTGCTGCTGTTGCTGGGCCATCGCTCGGGCTGTCTTTACGGTCGCAATGCGGCGGCGAAACATGATTGGAAGAGCTTCCGTCACCTCCAGTATAGGGGCTGGTGGATCCGGCACGACAATCTCGTCGTACTGCTCTGTCACAACTGGTGTCTGCACAATCGTGTACCCAACGTGCTCCTCCGGCTCATAAGGTCTTCCTAGCGGTGGAATGCAATGAAAACGACGTGGACGGTGCGAGAAACGCAACAAGTGAGAAAGCGTCACGACACCCGGAGACATTCCCAGCGTCATAATCGCCGGTTGTCCAGGGGATTGGACGTCACTCGGTTTCATGCTCTCCGTGCCGTAAATGCCGCTAGTCTCATCGTTCGAGTCATCCTTCTCCACCTTTACCTCTGACTTCACCACTCCCCACTGTTTGTTAACGGAAGTCACGGCCGTAGTGGATGATGACGAATTGTCGTGAGTCCCACTGTGATAATGATGCCGGCTGAGTACACTCACGACAGGTGACAAGAGAGGCCCTCGTGAAATTCCCGACAATGGCACCATCGGCTGCGACGACAGCAAGGATGACGCCACTTTAACCTCCGATTTGTGGGTTGCCGTTGATGCAAACGAAGAAGAAGACAGTGCCACCTGAACTGGCCGTGGGTAGTGACGGAGCTTCACATGCATCTTGACAACAAATTCACCCCAACCCACCTCCGTTAATTCGAATGGTGCGGTCTTAACAATACGCTCACTAGGTGTGAAGGAAGGATCGAGGACAAACTGCACTGACTCGATGCACCGCGCCAGATAATCCGTCTCGTTAAAAAGGCCACGGATATACACAGTCCACTGGTGGCTCTTGTCACGGCTTTCAATGTCGATGAGCCGCACAACGCCACCCACAATAATGGGCAGCACCGCCCGTTGCTGGCGACCATCATAACGGAACATTTCGGCGTTGACGTCATTCACTCCATCATTCCAATCTTCAACACTATTGCCGTGGGAATCATCATATTCATCACAGTCCTCATCTTCCCCTTCCTCTTCATTCCCATACTCTGATTCTTCGCATTTGCTACTGTTGTTGTCGTCGTTGCTGTTCTTGCCTGTATTGTTCTGTGATGTACCATGATGCCAGTACGATTGTTGGCGTTGCCGGATGGCACTATTCAAATTACCATTACTACTGCTTCCGCTGCTACTACTTTCACTGTCACTGCTGCCGCTACTACCGCTGTTGTTGTTGTTATTGTCATCGTCCCTGTCACCATTATCGTTATCATTGCGTCCCCTATTACCCGTGCTAAATGACCTCCGTCTCTTCAACGGGTCTGCATGTCCAGAGGCGGACATCTTCTCATCAACGCGGTTGCGTGCAGCCAAAGCCACATACAATGTGGTCGGTGCCACTTCTGTGGACACCGCCAGTGACAAACGCTGGCCACCAAATGAGCACGCATAACCATCTACCCAGGTCGCAGTGTCCTTCAGTGCTGGCAGGACTGCCGATGATGCCGGTGGGGACAAGGGTGCCGGCAGCGTTTTGACGAGGAGTTCTCGCAGCGTGCCGACGACGCGGCAGTCCACAGTGGATTTATACACGGTGCCGTCAAAATGAATAGTAAAGGCCCGTGTGAATTCTTCCATTGTCCTCGCACAGGTCGCACCCACCGTATGTTCTTCCACACTGGTAGTCACAACAGTCCTGCCTGCCGTTGTTTTTCTTCTTCCCTTCGGTCAGACGTTTGGCAGCCCACAAAGAAACGCCGTTTCTATACAAATGCGGTGTGTGTGTGTGTGTATTTGCGGCGAGCAGAGTTATTTAGACGGCGACTTCAGGGAGAAACCAAAAAATGGAAAAAATAAAAACACAAAACAGAGAAACAAAAAAAAAAGAAGGGTAGTCAAAACAACGGCAATTTTCAGCCCATGGTGTCTGGGTACAATGCGTACTGGGAGAAGAATGCATGGCACATCATACGCACGCCCCTTTACACCCTCCTCCTCACTGCGATCACTATCAACCCAGAGAGAGAGATGATTGTGCTCTTATTGAGCGTACGGCATAAAATTTCGTCATGAACTCATAGATGCGCATGTTCTTCTCGCTTCCTTTTTCCTTTCGGTTTTCATATCCTACACGCATTCTTCGTGTTTCATTGATCTGTTTATCGTTCGTCTCCGTGATTATTATCATTATTATTATTGTGTGTCTGTGAGGCTATTGTGGGTCTCAAACTGGTGGTCAAAATGACATCATTATCTCCATCACCTTTCAGTTGCATTTCCCTCCCTCAAATGTGTTGCTCTCTTCTTCATTCATGTACACAAAAAAAAAGAGGATAGTAGAAAACAGAGAAGCGACATGCAAATACCGATGCGTTTGTACGTGATTTACACTACAATCTATTCGCCTTGTCAGAACGGTTCTATCATAATGCATATATCGTTCTCCTCCTCTATTTCTATATGCTTTCTAGTTTCACTTTTCTTTCGCAAACGACTCTTGCCACCTTTCCCTTTGTTGCTCTCATTTATTTGCCTCTGCAAGAGGGAGGGAGAAAAGTGGTTCTGCTGGAATTCATTATGATTCGTCGAGCATCGTTGCAATGTCCATAAATCCAGCCTCTCGGGCGCAGTCTGTCGCCGTCAAGCCGCGCAAGTTGCGCAGCCCAACCAGCGTACCGGTTGCAGGGTGTCCAAAACGCAGCCACTGCACAACATCCGCGCGACCGCCCTGTGCCGCGCTGTGCAAAACTGTGTTGCCATTATTGGAACGCAGGGCCCGAAGCTCTATGATTGGCACCGATGGCGATGCCTGCAGAAGCGTCCTGAGAACATTCGTGTGGCCGTGCCACGCCGCAATGTGCAAAATGGTGCGCCCAGAGTAGTCCCGCACATTATCAAAACCGCGGGACAATAGCGGATCATCTTCCCGAAGTTTTTGAAACACCGCCGTGTTCCCTTCTGCAGCCGCGGCAAGAAGATCGTCAGGCCACTGATACAACGCCGGTGAGTGATGAGCGGTGCTCAGTGTTGCCGACAGGGCCGACGCGCGTCCACGAGAGGATGAACGCGCACCGTTTGCAGATGAAGAGCGGCGGTTCTCCCGCATGGGACTCACTGCTGTAAGACGGGATCCGCGATCCGCTAGAGGTAATGCCTTCACTAATGCCCTTTTCGTAACCGCATTGGTACTTTTCTTCGTGGTTGCTGTCGCGGCACCTCCAGTCTGATCCTTCGCAGAAGCCATAATAGTCACCTTTTTGAGGGGCTTTTCATTGTCTCTTCCTGGACTAGTCGTTGTGGCCGTGGTATGGGTCGCGGCCGTGGGCGCAATCCCCGCCCCTGTAACGGAGGTTGACGGCTGTGGTGATGATAGCGGTTGTTTTCCTGGTGCTGGTGGTGGTGGCAATGGTGTCACGAATTGTTGCTGCTGATTCTGTCCAGAATCTTGCTGTTGCGGTCGCTGACGACTACTAGTGGCACTCGAGGAAGAGGCAAAAGTAGTATCGGGCGTCGTACTGCTATTCACTGAAGAGGATATTGCCGCCGGATTGGGTCGGATATTTGACTGTGATGAGGGAAGTGGCATCGGCCGCGATGCGAATTCCCCTGCCATGACGCCGCCTGTATTCGCCACCTGCTGTACATCGAAAGCATCACCTAACGTCGATATGCCGTGCATGGATGGCTGCATAGCATGTAACGATTGCCCTGTGGGAGCAGCCGGATCACTGGAGGCAGTGGGGTATGTGCTGCCTGAAAAAATGGGCGCCGCAGGTGACTCCACACCCTGTGCAACAGTAAAAGACGGGTTGGTAGGCAAGTTTTTTGGCGGAACCACCGGCGGTGTTGACGACGAGGCCATTACAAAAGGGTTTTGTCGTGTCACAGGTTCACTGGCATTCTGCGGAGTGGGTGGGGGAACCGCAACCGCCCCAAGCAGCCCACTCGTCGAAGAAAAAAAGTGTGGCTGCTGCACGGATGTTGGTTGTGGTGGCGAAAGCATGGAGGGAAGCTGCGGCATTTGTGTGGATGCAGGCTGCATGGGTTGTGGTGGCTGTGAAAGTTGCGGAGCTCCAAGAGGTTCACTAGGGGCAGGCAGCGCCGTCACTTGTGGTGGTGGCGGCGGTGCTGGCGGCGGTTGCTCCACCGCTGCGTACGCCGAAGTGAATTTCATGATCCCGCTGTCGTCACGCAAAAACTCTGGAAGATCATCGTTGGCCACACTTTTTTTCGTCTGCGCCGCCACCTCGCTCGGTGTCATGATGACAACCTCGTACGATACATCCAAGGAGCCGCACCCGTCACGAGCCTTTTGCGAGAGCGAAACATTCCCGCCGTGTCCGAGTTGCAGCGTGCGACGTGTCATGGGAGACGCCGAAAAGAGCGTCAACGTTGCGCTGCCGAGAAGCTCCTCCGCCTCTGTGTACGTTGCCTTATTGTATACCCTCAGAGTCAGAATGGTCGGCAGGGGGCAGGCA